GGTGATGTTTGTTTGGGAAATGTTCATTTTGCATGCCAAGAGCAGTTGCTATGGAAGAGGAAGTAGGAATAATTTGGGGAAAAAAAGAAGTTCTCAGATTACCTAAACACTGGTTTTCTCTGCAAAAAAAAAAAAAAAAGAGTTGCTTTCTATTAGTTGCTAGTAAAAAAGCAATAACCAAGGAATGGTTGGAAGAGATTCCACCAACAAAGGATGAGTGGATAACAATTGTAGATAATATGTTTGAAATGGAGAAACTCACCTTTTCTTTAAGACTAAACATGGATAAATGCTATAAAAATTGGTCAAAATGGTTTATATATAAGAATATAGAAAATATATAACTTGCTAGGAAATGCTTTGCAATGAGTGCGAACCCCCCTCCTCCCCTTATTTATATTTATTTATATTTTTTATTTTTATTGTTATTGTTTTTTTTTCAATATATGTACATATATATGTATATTATATATGTGAAATATTTTGTTTGGACCGCACATTACAGATTGTAAAAGACTGAATCATATGGACTTGAAGGAAACTATGTTGGTGTTTATGCTTATAACACAGTACCTTTTACTGACGGGTTAGGGTGGGGGCTAATGGGAGAGTAACCTGTACTATAAAAACGACTGTATAAGAAGAATGTAATAATTGTATGTGATGCCTCTGGTGATCTGTTTGTTCCGTTATGTTAAAACGAATAAAAAACAAAAGTTTAAAAAAAAAAAGAGTTGCTTTAAGTCAAAATGAACTTGAATACATTCACAAGCTGTTCCTGGCATGACCTATGCAAGACTCATTGGAAAAACTGTGTCAGAGTTTCCACCAAACTATATGACACTTTTCATTTTACACGATGGAGATCAAAATTAGCGAACAACCTACAATTTCCTACATTTCAAAGTCACTGCTTACAGGGTTTCTGCAGGTTTTACCAAGTCAAATTTAGGACTTTTAAAGAATAATCTTTCAGACTTACATAGCGCTTACCGCGAAGGATTTTTTAAAATTCCCCAGCAGAAAAAGAACTTTCCCCATCAAAAAACTAATTTTAATTAGGAATTCATTAGCCACAGATGTCAAAACAAACAAACCCTAAATACATACATTTTTTTAACAAAACTTTTTAAAAACTAAATGCTTACAGTAATAATTAGAGCTGCACGATAAATCGTAAAAATATCACGATCCTGTCTCAACCCCCTAGGGCAGGGGTGTCCAAACTCAGTCCTGAAGGGCCGGTGTCCAGCAAAGTTTAGTTCCAACCCCAATCAGACACACCTAGGCTAGCTAATCAAGCTCTTACTAGGCTCTCTAGAAACGTCCTTGCAGGTGTGTTGAGGCAAGTTGGAGCTAAAATCTGCAGGACACCGGCCCTCCAGGACAGAGTTTGGACACCCCTGCCCTAGGCGATCTTAATTCAGCATTTTTGTGATTCTGCCAATCATATTTCTAAGTGCAGGAGAGAAGCAAAGGCGGCCGCACAAGCCTTCACGTTGTTTTACATACATTGCTCAGCATGGTGGACACCTCCGAATAGTGTTCTGTCTCCATGTAATAATGTATTCGCGTCATTGTGAAATGATGCAAACGTGTATAAAACATTGTGAAGAGGCAGGGATATCGAATAGATATGTATGATTTAATTTACACTGCCCAGAGCAAATGCCTGACTGCCGTCTGTGTGTGCCAGTCTTTGATAGCCAATAGAGTGAGAAAACTTTCATTCTGCCCAGTCAGAACTGCCTCTTATTGACCATGTTAGTTTCTGAGTGTTCTGTATTTTTATAATTGTTATTTGTTTGTTTGTATAATAAGCTACATAATCTCCCTAATTTGAGAACTTGTTTACAGAAAGGTCATTTTATGTGCTCCAGAGAAAAATGAGTTCAGTTTCTGAATATTTAAAAACAAATCTGGGTCCCACTTTACATTAAGTGTCCTTAACTACTATGTACTTGCATCAAAAAAATAAATACAATGTACTTACTGTGTTTATAATGTATTTGGGAACACTTGTGGTGCTTTTGAGTTGGGATAGAGGTTGGGTTATGAACAGCTTTGGTGGTGTGGGTAGGTTTAAGGGTGGGTTAAGGTGTAAGGTATGGTCAACAGTGTATTTACAAATGTAATTACAAAAGTTAATTACAGATGTAATTACATACATCTATTTAATCGAGCATAAGTACACAGTAAGTACATGTATTTATACAACAAGTACATTGTAGAAAACTATTAATTCCTGTGTAAGTACTTATTAGTTAGGGCCACTTAATATAAAGTGGGACCCAAATCTGAATAAATGTTGGAGTAGTTTAGTATCTTTTCAGTTTCTATTTTTAACTAACACACACTGCATTTTAGCAGTAAGAAGCTACAATACCGATTATTGAGCTGAATCTTGACAACAAAATTAAATCCCAAATCAAATCACGATCGCATTATGCACAAAAACTGCACTTAGATATTTTCCCCAATTCGCACAGCCTTGGTTGGGACAACATAAAAGGATTGTATGGAACCCTAAATTTTTACAGTGAATATTTCAGTGGATTTAAGGGTTTTTAAGGCTTAAAACTTAAAAATTGAAGACTTTTTAAGACCCTGCATATACCCTGTGCTTAGTAGCCTTTGATGGTTAAAGTAGTAAAAGTACAGTTTTTAAAGATCTTTAAACACTATATATAATAACAAGAAAGCGTTTCAATGCAATGACACCATATTTTATAAATACCATACGATTGTCTGTAACTTATTTCTTCCTCAGTTCTTTATCATTCCTTAACCATCCGCAACTGTCTGACTAAATTTCGGAATAAGGCTGCGCGTCCACTAAAGTTTTATTGTGATGCAGAAACACAAAGCGCTCATCTAAAAACACTAATTTTTTTAATTGGCTGCTAAGATGCAGAGTATCCCCCGCTGTACCATTACAACGCGTAGCGCAAGCTCTGTGATTGGTCGGCTTGGTAGCGCTGACGAGTCTGGGCGGAACCGAGAGCCGCGCGAGTGGCGCTAGCCCAATGGAGCGATTGCTTACAAGTGTGGAGTCCCGTGAAGGAGCTCCGGATGGAAAGTTTTGTGTTGTGTTTACCTCATAGTTAAAGTTGTTGCACGTCCGCCGGTTCCTGCCTCAATATGAGTGAGTTTGAGCCACTTGTACATCCCGAAAGTGTTCAGGAAAAGCAAAACAGCAGCGAGGAAACTCGACACAGAGGAACATTAACACCTCACTGCCAACTAGCGTTTCGGAAGTGTTAATGCAGACCAACAGAGACAGCGCGCAGAAGTATAAATGCACAGCTACTCGCGTTGCATGCGCCGTGGGTTACGCCGGTCACTTGACGCAGAAGTATAAACCAGGCTTTTTTTCTGCCTCTTGAAATTGATTCATAGCAAACTGTTGTATTTATTTGCAGTATTTAAGGGGATAGTTCACCTAAATATGAAAATTCTGTCATCATTTACCTTGTTAAAAACCTATTTCGAGTCTTTTTGAACACAAAAGAAGATTAAGGAAAAATGGAAACCTTAACCATTGAGTGTTTGTTTTTCCTACTATGGAAGTCAATGGTTACTGGTTCAAAGCTTTTTACAAAAAATCTTGTTTTGTGTTGAACAGATGAAAGAAATTCAAGGTTTCAAGGTTTGGAACAAGTGAAGGATGAGTAAACAGTGAGCAAATTTTCATTTTTGTGTGAACTATTTCTTTGAGGAAAGTACAGTATTACCTAAAAAATTAAAGGTCCAGTAGGTGATTGTCTTCAGAAGCATTTTTTGTTGTGCTGGTTGAAAGTCTCTTTACAGTCTAATAGTAATGATTAAAGTAAATGATCTAAATGTATTTATATGTATTTTTATATTCTGGGTAAGGCATAAAACTAAAAAATGTTCATCCAATTAAATAGAGTCGGGCCGACATCTCTCAAAATTCCGATAAGTAACTCAAATTGTCAGTCAACAAATGCAGATTTGGACTTTTGTGCATCTCTGCACACGTATATCCGCCATTAGCGTGTGCATGTCTGCCGCGCGTGCACTTCTAGATGAACGACACGTGCACGCAAGACTGTCAGTTGCGGCAAAATCAAATGCTGAATTAAAACTTTTTAAACTCCTCGATCAGTATTGGAGTTACTTTTGCACGCTAAAGGAAGGACGACACCACACCATGGAGGAAGTATTTCTGTTAGAGAGGTAATGTTGTGTTTTAAAACTATATTAGTCACACAGAGCTGATGTAGAGTGTATTGTGTTATGAATGGGTTCCGCACAGACGTGTTGTTCAGCCACTGAAATCTCACGGTGGGAGATAGATTTGACTATTTTTAGTTTCGTAAGGGAGCTTTTACAGCATCGATGATGTAGATTTATAACGTTATTCAGTTTAACAACAAAACATCAGTAAATAACGCTATTCCGTCTAGCTTGCTTGCTGAAGTAGCTTTTATATTCACATTGGGTTATTTCTGAACAATGACGGCCTGTGATGCACTCCCGATATTGTTTACCGCTACTCTGAATATTCAGTCTGAAATAGCATGTACGTGTGGCTTAGTAATAAGTGAAATTCCTGCACGCCACCCGGCCAACCACTCCATACACTTTTAACTGGCGAATGAACTGGGTTGTCTGCTGTCGTATCGTGGTGGGCGCGCTTGTGATTTCAAGAGGAGTGGCTTTGAAACACAATCCCTCCCTGCCGTCCAAAGCTAATATGCTAACCGATTAGCATTTTGGCAGATCACCTACTGCACCTTTAACAGTAATACCTTACATTACTTTTTCAGTGGATAAGTACTTACTGTACATTACTTGCTACTCACTTTGTAACTAATTATACTCAACTCTTCCAGAAAAACTGAATAAAATCTAAATAACCGAAATTATTACCTAACCATATATTTGAAACATGGAAAATACTAATGATTATTTTAACGTACGGTTTAGAATTACTCAGGAGTTAAAAAATGATAGAAAGCACATGTTTTTTGGTAGATTATAACATGTTGTTAAGGATTACAGTATGACAAAAAAAGAAAGCCAGTCATACCCATAGAGTCCAACACAAACTGGTCCTGTGTGACTGCCAAAGGAGGCTGAACACACACCGTCATTTTGGGGTTCTGCACCACAGCTCGACTCTTTATTTTAACCTGAGAATAAATCACATATTCAGGACATATCACCTCAGCATCATAAAGCATATATATATATATATATATATATATATATATATATATATATATATATATATATATATATATATACAGGGCTTTACATTAACACTTGCCGTGCTGAAATGCGTGTAGATTTCAGTTTTGGCGGGTTAGACAGACACCTCCACTAGCCAATTTGGCTGGTTGAAAATAATTTTTAAATTGTAGTTTTCCTAAAAGCAGGGTTCGACAATATAAGGATGACCCAATATGCGTGCAAATGTGATCTTAGAATCGAGAAGTAAAATAATTGTGATCACGCGAGCAGAAGAAAGCAAGTGAATGAGAGAATGATTATCACTCGCGCAAACAGCTGATGAGATGCGCGCGACTTCTTAAAACGCGTGCGCGCGACTGCTTAACGCGTGCGCGCTCCCGAATTGTGAACCGTTTCTGGAACAGGTTCTGGAAACGCAACAGTCATCGGTTCTCTTTCAAATAAACTAGACAAAAAGTGATGAACATGCATCCTCAGTCCTGATGCTTTTAAGAGCTCAAAATGTTTCTTATTGTAAGCAGCACCGGTTGCTTTCACTTTGAACAGATTATTAATTATTGTCTAAAGTTATCCGCGTGCATGTGATCATCCTTTCATTATCACACATGGTATGTTTCACCTGCTTTCACTTGCTTACGGTTTTATTTACTTTCATTTTTGTTAAAATGGTTTAATTATCTTTTTTTTACAACACTGCTTTAATGAGAGATGAACTCTCCATTTATGTGCAGTTAACTGGTGATCTTAGAGATCTTTAGCCACGACAGATTACTGTGCATATTTTTGATACATGCCAATAGTTATTTTTTAAAAGTCAATTGCTTTTCTTTCTTTTTTAAGAAATATTTTGTTAAATAAAAAGTATAGTAAACAGCTATATTTTGTTTGTTTTGACACATTAAAAATGTGTGGCTAAGAAATAATTATTGTTTCGTGTGGTTATAGAGATAAATTTGGTAAATCGTTAATTTTAAGCTCTAAAAAAAGTCATGAAAAATAAAAACTAATTGCAATATAACACTATGAAACCATGACTCCTTTGCTCATGCTCATTGAGCAAGCTCATACTCAACACACAAAAAGTGAAATGAATGAGGACGCATGTGGAAATAACACAAAATTTAAATCAAGTAATTTTAGCATGTCAACATCAAATTAATGCATATAAAATATATCTTCCCAACAACAAAATTGTGGCTAGTGAAAATGCAGAGTAGCTAGTAACATTGGAAAACTACTAGCCACAGTGGCCAGTGATTATAAAGTTAATGTAAAGCCCTGTATGTATATATATATATATATATATATATATATATATATATATAATAGACACCACAGTTAAATGAGCTGCTCTTACCTTGACTGTGACAGAAGGCACAGGCATCCCATTCATCTCAGGTATAATAGCACACTGTAAGAGAGATCATCACAATACAGTTATACACTGCCTGCTAATGTGACGAATAGTGGGGTGCCATACAAACATTTCAAACAATATTTGACCAAGACACAAGATATTTCTGCCAATACGTGATGAAATTTGACATCTTTCAATTTTCAGCATTGGCAAATTCTTATTTATTAGCTTGTCTAATAAGTGATTGAAAGCTTGATCTTCAACATCTTAACACCTCAGTACAATGCAAAATTACCTTTACTTTTTAATCTATGTACGATTGGTCTGCTCGTTGTTTTTATTTAAGCAGACATACCTTTCAATCCAAGCTCCATTTACAAAACGTTCATGTTCAGAAGCAGCTGATACCTTTGTGCTCAATGGGCATATGTCACAGATGTCATACTTGGCTGTTTAAACAATGCAATTCATCGACTGGCCGCTTGAAGCTGGCTCCAAGGTAGCCCAGGCGCACATAGTCTAGTACATTATTGTAAAGCCAGTCGGCAAGGTAGCCCAGGCACACATAGTTTAGTACACCATAGTGTCAAGCCAGTTGACAGTGTAGCCCAGACACACATAGTCTAGTACATTAGTGTTAAGATAATCAGCAATGTAGCCAAGGCACACATAGTCTAGTTCAGTGGTTCTCAAACTGTGGTACGTGTATCACTAGTGGTACGCAGGTTTCCTTCTAGTGGTACGCGGAGGAATGAAATATGTCATGTACATTTAAAAATTTATCAAAAATGATGCATATAATATGCCATTTATGACATATAGCCTATATTTCTGAGGTAATCTGCCACGTTTTTTCAACTGTGCAGAGTTGTAGCTGCTTTACTGGGCCTACTACGCTACTGTATTTCAATACTGCTCATTTTGGTGGTACTTGGAGAGACAATTTTTTCTGAGGTGGTACTTGATAAAAAAAAGTTTGAGAACCACTGGTCTACTTCATTAGTGTTAAAGGGTCACGAAACACCAAAACACATTTTTTGAGCTGTTGACAGTCGTATATGTGTCCCACACTGCTAAAAACACTATTAGGACACCTATATTTCACTAAAAAGTGTAAATTGGTTGTTTTTGCGTTATTTCAAGCAAATTTGTACTTCCTGTTTGAAACGAATTTTTGAAGCTGCGTCACGGCCATGACATAATAGTCTGTATTCCAGCGTGCAGACTGGGCGTATGTGCCAGAGTGAGTCTTATTACGTCTTACAGTGTGCTGCATTAATGCATGAGTAAAGCTTGGTTCAAACCAATCAGTGCGCTCTATTGTGCAACTCCATTAATATTCATTAGCGTCACCGTGTTTACGCCACAGAGACGCCACGTTGTGTTAGCAAAACAAGCGTGAAGTGTTGCTTTTATAGTTTGCTGCCATTAAGTTTCGTTTTCATTTTCTCTCTGTGAGAGCTCAGCTGGATCACGTGTGGATTAACGGTGTACGCGACGCTCGACAACAATAACTTACGTGTCTAAGGAGGAACATTGTTTACCTGAGAGCTGTTCTCATCTGCAAACGCTGAAATCCGGATTCGCTTGTAACATTAGTCTCCTCTTCATAAAGACGCGGCTCTAGTTGCTGGTGATTGTCCTGTCTCTACAGATTTGGTAAGTGAGCGACCAGTGCTCTTTGTTTATTCAGTTTGTTCGTATCGAATTAAGTTAACTATTGCACTGAGTGCAAACATAGCACCGCATTTTGTGACCGGAATAACACACGCGGCTTACCTGCCGTGTGCATCTAAGTTTCCGGGAAATGCGGAGTTCTTTTTTCTCTCATTCGCCGTGCGGTATCAAACATTGCATGAAAAATACACGCTTAGAGCAGATCCTCGAATCAAATATCTCGTTTGTCGCGAGGGGCATGAATGAATTCCCTGAATGAAAGAGCCAAACTGCTGTTAAAGTCCAACATTTAATAATTTGGCAAATAATTCGACTACAGATGTCCATGTAGGTTAAACACCATCACTTTCTCATGTGTGTGTATTTTGACTGAAACTCGCGCGTGCCCAAATAGACACTCCCACACCATCCCACTTTAGTTCCTCCGACACTCCCCCTTAAACAGAGCTGGACACGCCCACTTTTCTGACTTTTTCCAAAGTAGAGGTGGGAAAACACCCTGCTGAAACGAGGGGGTTTCATGGCCCTTTAAGCTAATCAGCAATGTAGCCAAGGCACACATAGTCTAGTTCATTAGTGTCAAGTCATTCGGCAAAGTAGCCCAGGCTTACATAGTCTAGTAGATTATAGTGTTAAACCAGTTGGTGGTGTAGCGCAGACACACATAGTCTAGTAGATTATAGTGTTAAACCAGTTGGTGGTGTAGCCCAGGCTCACATAGTCTAGTAGATTATAGTGTTAAGCCAGTTGGTGGTGTAGCCCAGACACACATAGTCTAGTAGATTATAGTGTTAAGCCAGTTGGTAGTGTAGCCCAGGCTCTCATAGTCTAGTAGATTATAGTGTTAAGCCAGTTGGTAGTGTAGCCCAGGCACACATAGTCTAGTACATTAGTGTTAAGCTAATCAGCAATGTACCTAAAGCACACATAGACTAGTTCAAGTCAGTTGGCAAGGTAGCCTAGGCACACATAGTCTAGCACATTAGTGTTAAGCTAGTCAGCAATGAAGCCAAAGCACACATAAGCCCCTTTCACACATACAGACCTTTCCAGAAAATAACCGGCAATTTTCCGGAGAGGACTGTATGTGTGAACAGACCCCTTTTTAAAAATACCGGTAAATTCGTTCAAGCTATTTTCCAGAAAAAGAAGTTCTAACATTACCGGTAATTTGCCTGAATGCTGCGCTGTGTGAATGCAGAATTAAGATTGCCGGAAAGATCCCGTGCAGGTCTAGAACGTGCTGACGTGAGACGTCTACTTTAGCCAATCAGAACACTCAGATGCATTCACGTCCGCACGGGTTATGAAAATTAAAAGCCTTTAAATATTTTTCCAGACACAATTAGCTGCTAGATTTTAGTCAGATAATGTTTATATGTTCCTTCTTAATGTCAACTGTGTAAATAATTATCTTATGCTTATGATAAGCAGTTGTTCGTTTACCTTCAAGCTTTGCTTCTTTCAGTTGCTTTGAGCGTCGCGTCGCATGTGCCCGTGAAACAGCTGGTGAGCTCCAGCACGCACACATATTCTGTACATCTCGACATGCCAAAGTGTTCCTCTATACGTTTTCAAAGTTTCATTACAATACTTATCCATCCACAGAGTTTGTAATGTAGTCAAATGTTTACCAATACAAGCGCAGCCGTTTAGAGCTCATTTCTGGTTAATGATGTCAGAATTTACCGGTATATCGGAATGGATGTGTGATTGATCTTTTCTGGAAAAATTCCGTAACGTCTTCGCCTGTGTGAACAGCGCTTTTTGAATACACCGGTAAAGTCGTTCTGTAAATTTTCAGAATTTTTACCGGTTTCACTGTGTTAAAGGGGCTGTAGTCTAGTTCATTAGTGTTAAGCCTTTCAGCAAGGTAGCCCAGGCACACATAGATAGTAAAACATGCTGATCCAATGCTTAATGATGAACCAAAGAAAAAAAAATAGTCTTGGCGATAGATCTGCTTGTTCTGTGGAGATTCATTTATTCAGTCTGAATTATCAAGATTTCAATATTAAAAGGCTGTGATTGACTGAGCTGAATAAAACCTCTTTTAGGGACATTTAGTGACGTGCTGCTGTGGAAAAATTATTTATATAGAAAGCAAATACTTTTTCTTTTTCAAATTTTCTTTTAGGGACTACTTTATGTAAAACTAGAACACTACAAGTCTACTTGGTGGCCTCTTTGAGAAAGCTAAACCTGTGTGAATGTGGTTAAAAAATGATTCTTAAATAATAATAGGCTTAAATTAGTGGTAAAATAGGGTTTTCTGTAGGCGGCAGTAGTTATAATTAGCATTATATAAAGAAGACCGAATTATATGGTATGTTCCCAAATAGATTAAATGAATGTGTGTATTAGCATCCATACCGAGACTTCGTCCAGGCTAGATGAGACTACGGCGGTCAGTCTGAGCTCTTCTTCGGTCTCTGCCCTCGGGAGAATGTCTGAAAATGGGCCACACACAAACACATACAAAAAATTATGGTGCAAGTAACTTTCTGATTCAGATGGTACTTGATTTTAATGCTATGTTCTCTGCAATATATGTCTATTTTTAAAAAAAAAAGTCTTAAATTTGCAGAGACTAATACTCACCTTCACTTTATTAGGTAGTTATTAGGTTACATATCCTTAAGTGGTTCCTTACTTTAGGAGTTTCTTTCTTCTGTTGAATACTAAATAAGATATTTTGAAGAACGTTGTGGAAACTGTAGCTGTTGACTTCCATGGTAGGAAAAACAAATAACATGGAAGTCAATGGTTACAGGTTTCTATCAATTTTCAAAATAACTGAATTTGTGTTCAACCGAAGAAAAGAAATTCAAACAGGTTTGTGGCAGGTGTAGAGTGAGTAATGATGACCAAAATTTTAGTTTTGGCGGAACACTCTCTTTAATTCCTCACGCTATAGATTCAACCTAGAACTGGAAAATTTCTTTAGAGATTTTGGACCATATTGATATGATAGCATTAAGGTTATTCACACTAAATCCAAAATGTTCACAGTAATTTTCGCACGTTAAAATACAAATTTGACCTCACGTTGTGTCACTAGTATTGACACACTGCCTCCAAAAGTTTCATCCATCAATTCAGTCCATTTCTATGACAAATCAATGCGACCGCCATCTATTATAATGTCTGTAGGTACTACCACTCTCCGTTTAGGATTTGTTTATGTACGTGAATGTGTGAAGTATCACAAGCAATATATCAAAATTGCACTGATTTCGTGAAATAAACTTTGCATTTTGGGATAATCATAGGGCAGATCTCTCTTTCCTCTCTATGCAGTATTGGATGAACACAATATGCAGCCTATCCCTCTTTCTTTTTGTACTTTAAAGAAGAGACATGAGAACAAAGTATCACTGCTTGAACTGATTCTGAAATGTTTTGCGTTTCTTCGTAATGGATTAATTAATATGCATTGGACTCAGAGAGCAAGGTTTGTTTACTTGACGAATTTTTCGCATATGAATACAAAAAAAAATGCATTTGAAAATTTCGGACTTCAGTGTGCAAAGTTCTTTGCAATTCCTACAGATCTGACATATGCACATCCATGATGCAAATCTCCCATTTTATCACATCCTAAAAGTACTTGATTGAATTGAGATCTGCATTTTCACCATTTACCCTAGATTCTAACCCTACCATTTAAAATACTACATCAAAAACTGATAATTAGACAAACTAATATAAAATTTTTCCATTTATTGTCCTATTTTGGCGAGTCTGTGTGAACTATAGCCTCGGTTTGCTGTTGTTACATGAATATATATATATTACTATTTTTAGGACCACTCACAGGAAAGTCAGGAAAATCCAGTAGATCTGTGGCTTTCCCCATTATGATTCTCCATTTAAACTATAGTACATCTTGTCTGTCTTTGCCATGTGATTGGCTGCTTAAATGTTCATATCAATGAGAAGCTGAACTGGTGTAACTAAATAAAGTGGCTAGTGAGTAATTACGATATATATTAAAAAGTATTCACATCCTTGAACAACCTGTTCCATGTGACCACTGTACACTGCCACGCATTCATTGAGGTGTCAATTATTACTGATAGATGACGTCAAACTCCTGGTGAGTTTTCTTCTGTTTCAGTGTTAGGCGCATCTTGTTTCTCTTTCAGTCTGACTCTATAACTACTTAAAGTTTAGACGATCTTAAAGTTTGTCGTGGAAATCATATTTATTCTGTCTAACATGCTATAACTGTTAAATATTATTAAAAAAAAAAATAAATTTTAAAAATTATAAAATAAATAAAAAAATAAATAAAAATATTGCACAGTAAGCCAGACTTTAGTAAGACTGGTGTGCATTTATTTAAGATTCTGTGCCTCATACCTTGTGTTTTGGTAGCCTCGCGAATAACCCTTTGCAGCATTTTCATCTCTGCGTCGATCTCATCATAGTTGACCTCTCTAGCGTCCACTTTGGGTGCAGTAAAGAAGGAGGGGTCAGTGCCCATGTAAGAGCACTGGAGATGCCCATCAGAGCTCAGAGTCACCACCAAACCCTTTAGTTCCCTAAAAAACACAAAACACATAAACTGATGCATAGAGAAGAAATAAAAAGAAAAGAAAGTTGGACCGGTAAGAAAGCAGAACATCTCTATAATTCTCAGGAAGATTTTGGTTGTTTAAACTGCTTCTTTTAAATTAGCTGTGAACTAAGAAATCCAATTTTCATTGATGTTTTCGAACCAATTTAAAAAAAAAGATTCCATCAATGTGCATTTATATGTTATCGCTAGTTATCTCAATAATGTTTATATCTAGTGACTGGGCTGGCCAATACTGGAGCATATTGACCTTCTTTGCTTTCAGGAGCTTTGATGTGAAGGCTGAAGTATGAGGAGGAGCGCTATCTTGCTGAATAATTTGCCCTCTCGTGTGGTTTGTAATGTAATGAGCAGCACAAACGTCTTGATACTTCAGTCTGTTGATGTTGCCGTCCACTCTGCAGATCTCTCGCACACCCCTATTGACTGATTTCTATGAGAATCTTGGGTCCGTGCAGGTTCCAATAGGTCTTTTCAGTATTTGTGATGCAATTCAACAGATGATTCATCGGAAAAATCTACCTTCTGCCACTTTTCCAAATGGTCAACTAGTCTAGAAGTTATTATTTGTTACTCTTACAACTAGAATTGACGACAAGACTTGTAAAAGGGTAGACAAGATATTGTTATATCAGATTATTCTATTTAGTGTCAGATGAATTTGCACCAAATTACCATTCGTTTGATCATGTCTGATTGGATTTGACCCAAAAGATCAACACTAAAAGATAATAGAACAGTAAAACAGTGTTTTCCCTTCCCTTGATAAGTCCTTTGTTGTGCTATCCTGACTATGCATGATTCTATGGTTTGTTCTTAGTACTTTATCATTCATGTTCAATGTTTGAGAAACTGAAGATGTGAGTGGTTATGTGTGTGCACGCTGGAGATGTGAACGGAGACAAGCAGAGCAGCTCATTTAGGTGGTGCTGACAGACGCTCTTTTAATGGGAGGCCAGCAGAAGAGAGACGGGACGGACAATGAAGAGCGAGTGACCCGTGTAGGATGGCCGGAGAGACCAGTGCAGTTAAACACTCGCTCCACAGACATATCGTTTACCTCGGCATATGAGAACCTCTCCAGGCAAACAGTCCCACAAACACTGAATGCATCAAAGAGACATAGTATACGCATCCTAAAGAACATTTCGATTCTGAGATTTTTTGGAATTAACCCAGATTTTGATTCTTGGTTCTGGAAATCAGCCCTGGAATCAATTCCTCGCTGTTGTTTTTGATTATTTTGTAAATCCTTTTTTTTTTCTTCTTGATTGGATGAACATGTTCGCCTAATCTCACTATGACTACATGATATCGAGGCTTATCGTCTTTTATACTTCCTTAGTTTTTCAATGATTACAATCAGCATCTATTATCTCTTCCTGTAGTCCAGAGCGGTGCTCAAAACAGTCCGTTGGGAGCAACAGAACAAGCCAGTTAGAGGGATAGTTCACCCAAAAATGAGAAATCTGACATCATTTAGTCATCCTTCACTTTTTCCAAACCTGCTTGAGTTTTTTTTTTTTTTGTCAAAGAGAAATGAGATGTACTAAATACTGGTGAGGTGAAAAAAAAAAACAGCCATTGATTCCATAGTATTTTTAGTTCCTACAATGGATGCCAGTGGCTGCTTTTTCAAGCGTTCTTCATCATTTCTTCAAAAGAAGATAAAAACAAAACACAAAACGTTTAGAACCACTTGATTGTGACAAAATTGTGAGATAATTGTAATCTACGAGTGAACTATCTCTTTAAATTACAGCATTTAAAAAACTAGTTTATTTCTTTTACATCATTTAGACATCTACAGTACAAGTACACTACCTGACAAAAGTCCTGTCGCCTAACCAAGTTTTAGGAACAGCAAATAATAACTTGACTTCTAATTGATCATTTGGTATCAGAAGTGGTCTATATGAAAGGCAAAGGCTTCTAGATTACGCTTATTTTACCAAAATAAAATATGAGCATGCCTTGATTTTTTTAATGATTTAATTAGGACAGTAAGGTCTGGCTTTGCTTAGACAAAAGTGTTGTTACTTAACAGAAATCATATCCAGTATATAATATAAAGTCATGCTGCAGTGCGAAAATATTTAATATTGTGTATGACTCCCATGAGCTTGGAGGACTGCATCCATACATCTCTGCAATGACTCAAATAACTTAATAAAGTCATCTGGAACGGCCAAAAAAGCGTTCATGCAGGACTCCCGGAGTTCATCAAGATTCTTTGGGTTCATCTTAAATACCTCCTATTTCATCTTTCCCAGACATGCTCAATAATATTCATATCTGGTGACTGGGCTGGCCAATCCTGGAGCACCTTGACCTTCTTTGCTTTCAGGAACTTTGATGTGGAGGCTGAAGTATGAGGAGGAGCGCAACGTCCCCACAACGTTGGGGTACAACGTCAACCTGACGTCATGTTAACATCCTGTGCCTGATGGGCGTTTAAGGCCATTTCGGTCATCATACAGTAAAGATCCGTTATCTACTCATCAGTAACATACATCTAAATAGTCTCTGGGTCAAGGCATGTAAAGATTTTGGACATCTTCTTGGACACTTTTAATGCTTCCAAACAGTTTGCTGCAATTATAAATCACCCATGTCGTAAAGAGCCCATATTATGGGTTTTTGAAAATTCCCCTCCATGTAGTGTGTAACACAGCTCTAAGTGAAGTGAGGTATCCAGCTAAGGCTTAGATCTGTAAGAGTACAGTGTTTAAAACAGTTGATTTATCTATAAAAGAGTCGACTCATAGTGCTTCAAACGAGTCGTCTTGATACCGAGTCATTAGGTGTTTTGCCATGACGTACGAACGAAACCAAGTTATCCACGTGCACGCGCAAACCCGGGAGATTTCAAACCTGAGGCCCCGCCCTCTGACGCAGAAACCCAGACACACACACACACACCCACAAACACACATACACAAACATGCCGGTCGATTGAAGTCACACTGCAGATGGATTTTATCGAGTCTCTACCCAAAGATGAAACCTCAGCGTTATAGCCAAGCAGTTGAAAACTACTGGAAACTTCTGCAAACTACATGCTACAAAGAATACTTCATCAGCGTTTGTTAAAGGAAGGATCAGTAAAGAGTAACTTACTGATGGACATGTCAGTATGGGTTTCTTCCTCCATTTCTCAAGTGTAAGTACGTGCGATTAAAGTTGTTGCCTCGTTTACTCTAGCTTGCAAATGTATTTAGTTGTGATTTGTTACTTGTAACCGCGTGTACTGTATCAGGTTAACTCGCTATATTTTCTTATCGCGTGCAAAGTCACGTTAAAAACGCGACGCGTGCTGCTTTGTTTACGGAGCTCTGTGGACGAGGGTAGTGTGTGCGTGCGTGTGTGTGTGCGTGCGCTGTCGTCCGGAGGTATGTGTGTGTGTTTGTGTGTGTGTGAGCGCGCGTTGTCGTCCGGAGGTGTGTGTGTGTTTGTGTGTGTGTCTGTGAAAAGAGCAGAGTGAGACAAGCTAGGAGATCTCCTCTACAGTTTTTGGAGTTTTTGCTCAATAAAATAGTTAGTCGTCTATATTTACGTTGACCCGCTGGCAGCTAAAATCCACGCCTACACTATCGAGCGTGTATGAACTGTGATTACTTTTATATTGCAGATTAGCTGTTGGGCATTTCACTCGCTGACTGAAGGCAGTCGACCAACCACAACAGGCTGTCATTGGTCCAATCAGCGCAGATTAGCTTCGCGCTAAGGAGGGGTTTGGGTACAAATGAATCACTGGGCGATTCATACGGGAGTCGCTGGGATAATTAGGTAAAAATAAATGCAGATTATAAAACCATGAAAGTGTTTTTTGACCTTGCATGCATATTAGACTGTTGTTGGAGACCCTTACAACCAATTGAGACAATTTACCTTTTATGTATGATTTGATTGGACAGGAATCACAGGACTGATTTTTCTAATCCCCATAGACAAGAAAAATAAAGTAATGACTGCAGGTTAAAGGAAAGTATTGGAGTAAAAGTACCAATAGCACACTAAAAATGTACTCAAGGGAAAGTAAAAGTACACATTTTGAAAACTACTTAATAAAGTACAATTTCTTAGAAAAGCTACTCAATTACAGTCATTTAAATAGTTGTTACTTTACACCACTGATATGGGTAGGCTAAATAATCTTGTTTTTGGTTTAACACACTGGCAGATTATTTAGCTTGTTTTAAGTAAAAATAAAAAACTTTAAAATCAAAACAACATTCTTACTTTCTAGAAAATGCTTCTTGGTTTTAAAACATTTATATATATTTACACTAGAATCGAGACACAAACTCTTAGTAAGAAAAGCTTTTTTTTGGCAGTGAGGAATGGAAGTTAAGGAGACAAACAGGACAGATTTATTTTGGCAGTGATCACTTACAGAAAGTTAGCGACACGCACGGCCACAGGCACACAGGACAGCTGCGCGGCCCACTTCAGCGTCACATCCTGGTACACCAGCAGCATGTTGTTATGGTTACACATCAGGACGTTGGTGGAACCCTCGGACACTGGGAATAGGAAATAAAGCCGGAAAGACGACAGCTGAGTATGAAGGAGAAAGTGTGTTCAGATGGTCTGTGGTCACCGAGCCTCACACAGAGAGTCAATGAAGTAGTTCAATGATAGACTGCAGCCACTTCCAGACCACCAGAAGACGTCCATCTCTCACTTTCCTTTTAAAATAATCCAACACCCTTCTCACCAAAACACACATTTCTCCGGTTCTGCGGCCAAACACCCAATATTATCCCTCTCAGTCTGGGAGGCAGACAAAGACAATAGTGATTTAACTCAAGAAACAAGATGTAGGGTGTGTTCGCGTGCAAAAGTCAGCATTATTAGCCCTCCTGTGATTTTCTTTTTCTTTTTAAAAATATTTCTCAGAGTATGTTTAACAGAGCAAGGATTTTTTTACAGTATTTCCTATATTTTTTCTTCTTGAGAAAGTCTTATTTGTTTTATTTCGGCTAGAATAAAAACAGTTTTTAATTATTTTTTATTTTAAGGCCCAAGGTGTTTTTTTTACATGTATTTTTTTATTTCTCTTTGCTATTAGAAGCTAATTAGAATAAAAACCTTAGTATCATCTTTTAATATGATGTACTTTTAGAGAAAAATGATGTCCATACATGTGCAGTCGTGGTCCGAATTTACATAAAACACTTTTTCCTGACTGTTTTTAATGCATCAATAACAGATACACACATATTTTTTAACATGTTTTGACTATCAGAAAGTAAAAACAAATTGTTTTTTCCATTTCGGACAGTTAAAAATAGTGCTTAGGACATTTCATATGCTGCAAAACAGCTGCAGGATGACACTGTATGTCTGTAACAAAATATAAAACATTCAAAGTATTTTAAAGAGCTAAAATGTGCTGTCTACATATGTGTCCACTAAGCCCTAAGAGGTTAAGGTCAATATTATTTGCCCCCTTAAGCAATATTTTTCCCATTGTCTATAGAAACCACTGTTATAGAATGACTTGCCTAATTACCTGAACTTGCTTAGCTTACTTGCTACTTAACCTAGCTAACCCTTAATTGTACTTTAAGCTATCTAGAAAAAAAATTATGTGCTGTCATCATAGCAAATATTAAATACATCAGTTATTAGAAATGAGCTATTAAAACTTTTGTGTTTAGAAACATGTTTACAAAATCTTTCCATTGAAAACTGTCATGACTAAAAGTTTATAAAACACAAATCTCACAGTTCAGATCACAATACAGTTTTTTAGTCACGAATCAGAGCAATTTTTTGATCAGCAAAAAAGGAGGTGACAAATGTAATTTGCTTTCCATTTATTACAAAAACCGCACTGCAAGAAACTTTTGCTTTTAACAAACAGAACTTAGAAGCTGTCATTTTATAAAAATAAAATTAATGAATAATCAGCTGAATAAAAAATAAATGGTAAAATATTTAGTGCTGTGAAAAATGCAGTTACTGCTACTGTTGCTGATAACACTAAATGTAGAAATCTAACATAATAATTTGTTACACTCATATTTATTTTTAGCCTCATTCAGCTATTCACTCAAAAAGCATCATGTTTCATTGCTAGATGATCATTTTTGAAGAATTATTCAGTGGCATATTTTCTATGGCTGGTTGTCGCCCCCTATTGGTTAAATAATGTAGTTGCTGCCTACAACTTTCATTTTTGAGCATTGTTAAATGCATCTGATGGTGATTTTAATCTTTACTACATCCGTAGTTTTATCTAAACAATAAACTGTTATCCCAGTAATTCTGTGTTATTTGGCTGCTTGTATCTTCATAACTAACTCAAAATCTAAAGACTCAATCTCTTTCTTGATTTTGTGTTTTCGGAATTGAATGCAGCGTTTCGAAGGATTAATAAACATATGCAAATCACCGTCATTTATAATTTATGTCGTGTGGGTGTTGAGATCCTGATCGTTTACTGATTAATCGTGCAACTTACACTGAATGCATTAATGCATGCTAAACAAGAGTGACATAAAACACCTTTAATAACCTCAGAAACCCACCACATCCCGAAACTTCTTCCGTCATTTTTTTATTTTATAGGAAAGACGAAATGCTTTCATACATGCGATATAAAAAGTAAAAAAAAATGTATTAACCCGCAGGCCAGGTGTGTTCCGAAGCCTGGGATGGAATCCAAACGCATCATGGATCAACCGTGATCAATTACATCCCTACTAAATATCCGGAAAATTTCCAGAACGACTTAACCTGCAAACTCAAAAAAGTGCTGTTCACACATGCAAGGATGTTCCAAACTTTTCCGGAAAAGACCATTCACACAGCTACTTCAAAACACCAGTCAATTCTGACAATGGTTTGTTCTGTAGAAAATCTAAAAAAAAGTATAGCAAGAGGGCTAATAATATTAACCTTAAAATGGTTTTAAAAAATGTACAACTGTTTTCCTTCTAGCCGAAATAAAGCAAATGAGACTTTATCCAGAGGAAAAAAATATTATAGAAACTACCTTGCTCTGTTAAGTGAAGTTTTTCAAACTAATTTCGAGAGGAGCATGTGATATAATTGACAGCAGCTGGCCTTACATCTACACTCATTAGTTAGCCAATCAGATCTATCGTAAATCACTATAACTAGCCTAGCTAGATTTATTACCTTATCTTCGTTTTCCGAAGAAACCCCCCATCCACCCCTTTCTCCTCCTTTACAAAAGAGGGAGCTCTCGAGAACCACCTGATCTCGTACTTCCCTCACATGCTCTATGGACTTGGCGGGAGCCCTGGGCTCAACTATCTCCGAGCTCAGGGTTCTCTCCAGGGACAGCATGCCAAACCTGCTAACAGTTGTCAAGAAATATCTAAGCGTGAACTCTTGAAACATCATTTGGGAAATATTTGAAAAAGAAAAAATAATAATTCACAGGAGAGCTAATAACTTTGACTTGAACTGCAAACTAGGGGTGTCAAAATTAAATGTTTCTTTGGTGCACCGCGATGCAGACGCGGACAATTCGGTATCGGTTCAGTAATAATCATAACCGGTTATTATGTACTGACGTCATTTATCTCCTATGCTCTCTGTCGCGAGGGAGGCGAGCGAGAGTATTTACAACACCCATCATTCAGTGATAGACGGCAATAACTCAAAAACCTTTTACCCTAAAAAGATCTAAAGTGTGTTTCCTACAAAAAGACAAAGCTGGTTATGTTTCACAGCTGTCTTTCTTTTTTTTTCGCTCCACACTACGAGCACTGCTCCGTTTAAGCCCTCGCAATATGTGTTTAGCTGGGATAGCTCGCGCTGAGAGGAGCTCTCAGCAAGGGACCGTCGGAAAAGTGCTTATTTTTTTCGGGTTTTTTTTCGTTTTTCTGCTCCGCTCTTCGCAAGCTCTCCCTGTTGCGAGGGCTTAAGTGTGTGTGTGCGTGTGTGTGTGTGTGTGTTTGTTTCTTTGGTGCTGTCTATGTTTGTGTTTGAATGAGAGACAGTGTGGTGCTGTGTCTGTGTGTTTATACAGACAGCTTGTTATAGCCTCTCCTCTAAAATATAACACTGTATATGGAAAGCATCGTCAATGCACCGTGATGCACCGAAATATCGAATTGAACCGAATCGAAGGCATGATAATCGTAACCGAACCGAACCGTGAGACCAGTATAGGTTCACACCTCTACTGCAAACATAATGTTAGTATGCACAGTAGAAATTGAAATATGATTGACTGCTGTGATCAGTCACCTGATGCATAAGGAAGAAAACAGCTGGGGTTGAACTCCAGTTTCTTCATGAAGCGGATCTGGCCGTTGTCCTTGAGACAGAACAGATTTCTCTCGCCCAGCACAAAGATGGAGGACATCGCCGGAGACGTGTTGGGAACACAGATATCTAGAGCCTCTTCTCCTAACACAAGAGTCCAGTCAGCCTGGGGACAAACACACACTCGGTCATGTCAAACCTCAAGCCAAATCTTCATAATGTAAATGCACATTATACTGGCAAATAACGCACAGTCAGTCTTTTTCCTGAGCTCTTGCTTTGCTGATTCGAGTCTTGTTTGGTGTCTGCATCTGTGGCCACAGCCAGCGTCTCGTATCTGAATTTAAAAGAGCAGAGAATGTCAGTTTTACCAATCGAACACAATATAAAGCATTACAAAATTCACTACACCACAACACTGATGTGCTAAAAGGGTTGATCCAAAACAACAACCTCCATAGAAATACGTTTACTTGCAAATTGCGTGGAAAAACTGTATAGGAGGTAAGTAATACATATGAATAGTATTCATTATACAATAGCAAAGCATTTGAATGACCAACTAACTAATTAGGGTGAGATTTTGAAGTGTGCATCCAGTGGATACTGTACTGTGGTTGTGTCCCAAATGACGCAATAAAAACCATAGATATATACACTAGATATTGCATAGGTACCCTGAGCATGCGTCTATAGCGCCGCCACATTGGTACAGTGTTCCCAGGACAAATGTCATTCAACCGCACTAGTCAAGACAGTGTTATTACGTGTAGATGCGGGACTTTAGCGCTGTCTACGGGTGTAGTAACGAGCAAACAAAGAAAACAAAGCACAAAGGCAGAACATTACATAGGTAAGGTTTAGTTTTTCACGTTTTTGTATGTTATGAACTTTTGTGCTTAACAGGTAATGTTATTTATGATAACACAGTCTCTTATGCATTCACCATAAGGCAAAGTAGCACTAAACACTCGGCTTATGCTAGTTTTGTTGAATAAAATCAGCAAACAATGCAAAAGAAATATGACAACGAGATGCTACTGTGCCAGAAACTTGTATTATTGTCGGATAGTGAAGGAGTTGCTCATAACGGAGATTCATTCACAAACGAATCGTTCCCTCCGTCAGTATGAGAAGAGAAAGCAGGAGAGGAGCTGTGTTTCAGGACATGATTAGATCAAATTTAACAGGGAGGGTGAATAGTACATTTCCATACACACAAACACAAGCTTTTTGTCAGGAATGCCAGTGCCATCACTGATCCATCCATGCAGAAAAGTGATGTAAAATTATAATTTTCGTATTAAAAAAAAAAAATTTGCATACTAACATCCAGGAAAACTCCCGATCATAGATATATGTGTATATGTGTATATCTCTGACTTTGGATGGCCACAGTCCTCCACTGTTCCTTGGTCCCGCGTTCATTTCAAAGGAGCGCTACCCTGTTCCAAAATGGCGGCTACATTGACGCATTCCTTCCAATAGACAACAACAGGGTAGGCGACATGTAATGTATATATCTATGAATAAAAACTATGATTATTGACTCAACCATGTAGTGTATGAATTTAGTAGGTAAGTAGGTATGTGGCTAAGGTAAGTTCAAACATTCTCCAGAAATATTTTTATATGCCTATCTATTACTTACCCCTAGAATGAGAAGGTCCTTATTGACCTTATTTGCAATGGTCATGAATATTTATTAGCTCAGCTGTGATGCAGTGCTCTCATAAACAAACATAATTTATCGTAAATAGATACATTTATTTTACAACCCTTGACAATTGAAATGAGGCTATGCATGAGATTGTCTTATCTCTGATTTATAATTAGCGATGGTGTCTGTGGATGTCACCATTCAAAATGAAAGTGCCTTTTCGCTTAGGTCTTATTTCTTTTCATCATAAACTAAAAAAGTGACGCATCCCAGCTGAGAGGAATCCTGGAAAATAAACCAAACTCTGACCAGTGTGAGTAGAGTTTGCTCGCTTGTATTTTAACAATTTTGGTCCATTAGAAACTTTGCAGTGTCAAAGCGAATCGCACTAACAACAAAAACCAACACTGTACCAATTTGAATCCCTGTTTTGGAACAAAACAATTTATCTACAGGCATGAAAGCATCCTAAAATTCCAAAAGAAATCCAGTAATCTTGCAGGACAGCCAGATGTGTGGAAGAACAGAGCCAGTGACTATACGGAAAACTAAAGGGAAAGTTGGTCTCACCTGTAACACTCCACCTGCCGTGTGGAGGAGACGGTGATGAAAGAGTCTGTGCGAATGCAGTAACTCAATGGGCCGGGCAGCAGGAAACCAGGCAGGAAGCGACCAAAAGCATAACTCTCCTGCTCAAAAAACATGAGCATCCCATCCATGGACTGGATACAGATGAAATGATGACCTGCACAGCAGAAGAAAAATGAGTGCTCATATTTAATCAACAATTATAGAATAATAACATAACTATTTATTAGTGCTGGGCAAAAATGAATCATGATTAGTGGCATCCAAAATAAAAGATTGTTTTGACAATTTAAGCGTGTGTGTGTGTGTGTGTGTGTGTGTGTGTGTGTGTGTGTGTGTGTGTGTGTGCGTGTGTGTGTGTGTGTGTGTATATATATATATATATATATATATATATATATATATATATATATATATATATATATATATATATATATATATATATATATATAAAAGATGGTTTCAACACATTATTATAATATTTAATAACTCATCTCTAATAACTGATTTATTTTATCTTTGCCATGATGACAGTAAATAATATTTAACTAGATATTTTTCAAGACCCTTCTATACAGCTTAAAGTGACATTTAAAGGCTTAACTGGGTTAATTAGGTTAGGTTAGGGTAATAAGGCAAGTTATTGTATAATAATGGTTTGTTCTGTAGACTATCGGAAAAAAAATAGCTTAAGGGGGCTATTAATATTGACCTTAAAATGGTGTTTAAAAATTAAAAACTGCTTTTATTCTAGCCGAAATAAAACAAATAAGACTTTCTCCAGCAGAAAAAATATTATCAAACATACTGTGAAAATTTCCTTGCTCTGTTAAACATCATTTGGGAAATAAACAGAACACACGCACACACACACACACACATTTATACAACAGTTCTGTCTGGTTCTCGAATCTAATTGACTAGAGTATAGCTGTGCAATATTCTGAAATATTAGCACTACTACAGCCTCTTAACGCTTTTGTATTACTCCTCCCACACGACAAGCAGAGGAATAAACTCACTGCAGTTTAACAAAAATTGTAGCTGTTAGACAACACAATGTACTTTTGAGGCTTTTTAGGAGAGAATGTAAGTGTTTAGACTGCAACTGTGGAGTTTATTTACAAGGATAGAGCCTTTATTTAAATATTTATAATTTCGGAGATTCAGCACATTGGCAGCCATCAGCAGAGCAAAGAAATTGGCAATTGGCATTCCACCACAAGATGGCGATAGAGACCGCATAATAAGTCATTAGGGAGAAAAATTCGGCATAAATTTCAAACTACAGCTGATCAAATCATTATAAAACAGGTAAGTGACAATCTAAGTCAATCTCTCTCATTTGTCTTTTGAAGTGCTGTATTTATATCATAGTAATCTGGTAGTGTTTGGGGCGAAGCAGTGGCGCAGTTGGTAGTGCTGTCGCCTCACAGCAAGAAGCTCTGATTCGAACCTCGGCTCAGTTGGCATTTCTGTGAGAAGTTTGCATGGTCTCCCTGCGTTCATGTGGGTTTCCCCCACAGTCCAAAGACATGCTGCGGGTGAATTGGGTAGGCTAAATTGTCCGTAGTGTATGAGTGTATGAGGGTAACAGGCCGGCCGGAATGTGTAAAAAAAAAAAAAGTCTAAAACGGTTTGTTCCAAAGAACCGACCCCGCAACCATACGGGGCTAAGGCCAAAGAAGAAGAAAAGTAATCTGGTAGTGTTTGCTTTGATTTGACTTTTTCGAGGTTAATTGTGATTCCCAATTTAAAACGGAGAATACTGGGAAATCTCTGTAGACTGATGGCATTTCATGTCGTTCAGCCCTATAATACGTTATACATTACGCTAGAGGATCATTAAAATACTAGCTCTAAAGTGACATTTGTGAATGAGCAACAGTTTCTGCTGTTCTGACATCAGCTGTATATGTGAATGAGTGGCGGAAGAAAGTAGTTCCTCATGCAAAAGGGCTTTTGAGACTTTCAGTGTTTGATTTTCTTTTTTACACACGTTTATGCCGTTGAACTGTTCAAACGCAATATCACACTCTTAGCAGTACGATATGGCTGTATAACATCACTGGTGGGACACTAAGGCACTCAGTGCTTTAGGCTGAGTAATAATAATATTAATCTGACTAGTAAATACTTCAAGTGTCAGGAGTTGCACTGTAGTTTATATTAAAAACATCATTATAAAAATATCATTTTGTTTTCATTTTTCGTAATGTCATGGTTTGTTGTTGTCATATTTATGTATTATCGATGTCCAAGTAGTATTATAGTTTCCGTTTCAGTTTATTTTAGTTTTAACTTTCAACTTTTTTTAATCCTTTGCAGCTAACTGAAAAAATACATGTTTTATTTCATTTCAAGTAACAAAAAAAAATCAATTTTATTGTTTAATTTACATTTGACGTGCAGTTATAACATAATTGTATAGCTGCATCCTACTTAAAATCTATTGTTTAGGTTTACATTTAATTCTGCTGCATCCTCTGCCATTGTGGTGTCTGGGCTTCACCATGTGCAGATCCAGTGTGTATTGAAGCAATGGCAGCTCACAAACACTTAAATAAAAGACTGTGCTGCCCTCGTGTGGTTAATAAAGAAACTGGACTTAAAAGAGTACTACTAATCCTATTTAACAAACATGTGCTACTATTTTATTTATAGTCAGCCTTAATCGCCTTTCTACACACCTAAAGGCCAAGAACACACAGGCAATGTTCAGTGATACTAAACTGAGTGATATTTTTAATTCCTATTTTAATTTTATGGTGCACAATGAATTTGACTTTTAAAGTATTTATGGTTGGATAAGCAGCTATTAATATCACATCTTTAGATTTGTAAATTTTGTGTGAATTATACCTTTAAAGTGTCTATGAAAGTGTGAGAAAAAAATGTGTTAATTATATTAGTTAACATGAACTTCCAATAAAAAACACTTCCAAGGTGTTAATTAATCTTAAGCAAAGACTTCCAAAATTCACAAAAAATCCAATGGTGATATGAATTTACAATGAACAGTTGCATTTTTATTAACTAATATTAAAAAGATAAATACATATTGTAATGTACCTCTCCTTGTTTGACAATGTTAGTTATTATGTTAACCTTACCAAACTTAATAAATGTTACCAATAAAGATACCTTTCGGTTATTATTGAACTTAAATACTGAGGAGAAGAACAGTATATGCCTTTAAAACTGTAGCCCACTGAGTATTTTAGAATGCTATAATAATATTATGTATGGAATACTGATATGATCGATTACCTGTAACACCACCGAATGGGCCATATGTCATGTTGCAAGCTGTTCTCTGCAGGTTGTGTTCATAAACCAGTCGCAGCTGATACTGGTCACCATGTTCAACATTACCGGCAGTACCTGAGAAAACCATACATACGGAAAATATACTGTAATTAAAGATGTCTATGATTAAACTATTTCATAAAAAGTTCTAAGTAGCCAATGCATATAGGTGATTTTTATTTTTATTTTTTCAAAAACAAACTTTACTGAGACGTTTTAATTAATAACACAAATTATATCTAAAAATAGTCCTTGTGTGTGTATTTACACTACGAAAAAAAGCTTTTCTTACTTGCATTTTGTGGAGTAAGCAAAATAATGTCATGTCAAAAAGAAAAACAAGATTATATTGTTTTAATGAAAAACTCACTTAATTATGGCATATTATTTGTTAAAAAATAATTTTTTTTTGCTTGTCTAGAAAATGCTTCTTGATTAAGAATGTTTAGACATTTGGACTAGAAAGGGGATAAAGTAAGAAAAGCATTTTTGATGTGTATAGGGACATTTCCCCTTGAAAATATTAACTTAAAGGCTCCCACTATAGCTATTTTTGACCTCTGCCTCCTAACGCATACTCATTCATTCATTCATTGATTTTCTTGTCGCCTTATTCCCTTTATTAATCCGGGGTCGCCACAGTGGAATGAACCGCCAACTTATTCAGCATGTTTTTTTACGAAGCGGATGCCCTACCAGCCGCAACCCATCTCTGGGAAACATACACACACACACACACTACGGACAATTTAGCCTACCCAATTCACCTGTACCGCAGGTCTTTGGACTGCGCATACTTTCATACTTTCAGCTTTAATTTGATAAACTAATTAAGTGTAATCTTTTTTGTGTGTACTTGTTTGAATAAACATTTGCAACCAACGTATCCAGCATATGTTTTACGCAGAGGATGCCCTTCCAGCCACAACCCATCACTGGGAAACCTCCATATAAAAAACAATAGAATTAATAAATGTTTACCATTAGAGGCTGGTTATATTCACACTGTTGCCACACAACTGTGTTAAACCTCATAGGGCTCGAGTGTCCACATACGTAGAGAGCACATTTTAGAATGTTTTATATTTTGTTACAGACATACAGTGTCATCCTGCAACTGTTTTGCAGCATATGAAATGTCCCAAACCCTATTTTAAACGTTCCAAAATGAAAAAAAAAAAAAAAAACGATTTTACTCTCTGATAGCCAAAGCATGCACAAAAAAAATTATATGCTATATATGTAAATTGGGGAAAAAGTTTTTAATATAAATTCGGACCACGAGTCCACATATATAGACATCATTTTTTGTCTAAAAGTACATCATATAAAAAGATGATACTTAAATTTTTATTCTAACTATGTTCCAATAAGCCCAAATAGCAAAGAGAAATAAAAAATGCATGTAAAAAAACACCTTGGCCCTTAAGAGGTTAAACACCTTATCAAAGTGATTTTTTCACAATAGGTTCTGTTTAAGTTATTGTTTTCTTTTAGATTAATAAATTATTCATTTAATTTAAAAATGAGACATTTCTTGTATATCCTTCCAGTTATAGTAAGGAAAATATTTTTTAAAAATGCTCAAAATGTACGCAATTCTGGAATAAGTGATATGCAGTTGTGTATCTGTGAAGAACCAACCTGATACAGCATAGACAGACAGCTTCCTGGGGTGAAGAACTGCTAGATGCAGCGACTCTGAACAACTGTAATATATGACAGAAAAAGAGAAATAGGAGTAAGTGCAACGCAATTCAAAAGAACTTTATTTTTTATACTGTTAATGTGGTATTATCTGTGGTCATAAATGGATGAAAACAGTGAGACAATTGCCAGTCAATACTGTGCACTGTTAATAATGATGTTTACATACAATGAGCCTGCAATAAGTCTTTTGCTATAAAGGGATGTAAAAAGTACAGACTTCGATACCATTGGCATTAAAATTTAAAAAATGTAATGCTATCAACATTTCCCGCTTGTATTCTGTATTTTAGAATTCAGGGTGCGCACAACAGTGCCACAAGTAGATTTCAGTGTGACTGGCTCCAACGAGCATGGCTTCACGCTCCTCCACCAAGCAATTACACAGACACACAGACATATGAACATTTAAAAGCAGGGTCTATCAGCTTATCTGTAAGTGCAACAATCATATATGTGCTCATAGACGGAAGCTCTGATAGACTCAGCTTTCAAATGCTCCAGTGTCAGTGTGTCTGTGTAAGCAAACGGTGAAGAGAGTTTAACAATGATCATAAGAGCCAACCACAGTAATTAGTGTTGAGCGCATGAGCACAATGGTCAGTCAGTTGTGTTTAAAAACTTGCTCAACAGAGCTCATATGCTGGTGAGACAAAACATATAATCAATTTCGGTATTCATATCTAGATATATCCAACAAACCAAAATATCAGGCTGAAGAGCAGGGCAAATCACAAAAGCTGGAAATATACAAGACAATTGCAGTGTTCTAGAATCTAAATAAAAAACAGTTTATTTTTTTTTTTAAATCAGCACATTATCTTTCATTGTAGAAAGGTGAAGCCAAAATGTTGCAGAGACGGTAAAAGCTATTTTGATCAGTTGATGTCATCTGAAGCTAGAGTCTTCTGAAATCAAGTCACAGCTCCCACATAGACAGCTCACACACAGAATTTACTTGGGTAGGCCGCCCAGGTATATTATATAAAGTATATTTAGTAACACATTTACAGTTATTATGTTTTTTTTATTGTTATTAACATCCTTTACATTTTTTTTGTATCCGCACAATAACTAAACATCCAGAAACTATTAAGTAGTGGAAAGAATTATCCCATTTACCCGTTTCTGTGTGCGTGAGACCTGTCAGCACTCAAATAGACAGTCTGCAGATCCCTGGAGACGCACCTTTTTGGGACTTTAAAAATTTGTCCATAAATCTGGTAAAATGTCTGGGATTCAACTTTTGCTTTTGCTTTTGCTTTCTAAAGCTTGAATGCATTTTTGAATCACCTTTTTACTTAAACCTACTTTTGCTTGGCTTCGTAGAGAGCAAGAGACACATTAAATAACTTTTTTTTTATCTAAACAACTCAAGGAGGACGAAATGACTAGTCTAAACTTGGCTGCAAAATATATGTACACAATTAGTAATGGTTTAATCAACACATTTGCCTTTTTTAAATAATCTACATGTTTTAATATTGTGATTATGATAATAGATATTTAAACAGAAACAAAATGAACTCTTCACTTTTGTTCACCAAGTGCAAACAAAAATACATGGCCGCTGAATGGCTTTAAAGCGGTGTCAATCAGTCGATCCATCAGCGGATTGCTCATATGTTAGCTCATAGACAGGTAAGCTCATTGACGCTGCTTTGAACCACTCCAGTGTATCTATCATAGTCATATCATGGTCATATCTGTTGAGCATGTAAACACAATGGCCAATCAGCGCTGCTTAAGATGCTGTTCAATGTTAGCGTGAAATGGATGTTTTTTAAAATTTCTGTACCAACAGGTACCAAAGTTAAACGTGTTGTCATATTGATAAACATGTTTTCTCATTTTGATTCGATTTGCATGTGTATTCATATAGTCAGTGTGAACCGGACTTTGCTGAGACTTTTATTTGTGTATGTTGATATATTTCCGTCTGAAACTGAATATTGACTATATTGAGAATATTTGGCGGTGCTTTTTTTGCACATCATTCCCTCAGAGCAAACTAACGGTAAGAATGGCATGGTTAAGAATATTGTGGCTGAATCTGTCAAACTGAGGTCAAATAAGAAAAGCCACCACACGGAAACAAATGGTCAGACTTTGACTGAAGATTACCATTATATAGATTATTAATTTTTCTGTCATTCAATTCTCATGTGCTGATTATTTTATTAATTTGATGATGCTAATATATTACATAGGCTATTTTATATACATATCTAAAATGCTTTGGCATTCAAGTTTCCTTTGAACTTAAAGGAGAAAGAAGCAGATTTTACCTGTCAGTGGGTGCACATGGCTCCTGAAGAGCATAAAAGTAAGAGAAATTGTGGATGTCTTTTTTTACAAAAACCCATTGAAAAAAAGCAAAGTATAACAGTGTATAATAAATAAAATTATTGTTAAAAAATTCATTATGTTTTGTTTGTCGCATATAGTTAACTATTTATGTAATTTGGGTAAATGTGTTTCAATTCGGCTACCACCGCAAGTACATTTTAAACCTGTGGAAAGCACTGGACTCATAATTCATTTAAAATGACAGCAGCTAGCTCTCTGCAACTCTCACATGGTCGCCCACTGAAGCTAAGCAGGGCTGCGCCCGGTCAGTACCTGGATGGGAGACCACTTGGAAAAGCTAGGTTGCTGCCGGAAGTGGTGTTAGTGAGGCCAGCAGGGGGCGCCCAACCTGCAGTCTGTGTGGGTCCTAATGCCCCAGTATAGTGACGGGGACTCTATACTGCTCAGTGCGCTCTTTCGGATGAGACGTTAAACCGAGGTCCCGACTCTCTGTGGTCGTTAAAAATTCCAGGATGTCCTTCGAAAAAGAGTAGGGGTTTAACCCCGGCCAAATCTGCCCACTGGCCTCTGTCCATCATGGCCTCCTAACCCTCCCCATATCATGATTGGCATATCATCACTCTGTCTCCTCTCCACCAATCAGCTGGTGTGTGGTGTGCGGTCTGGCGCAAAATGGCTGCCGTCGCGTCATCCAGGTGGATGCTGCACACTGGTGGTGGATGAGGAGATCCCACCCCCCATTGTGTAAAGCGCTTTGAGTGCCCAGAAAAGCGCTATATAAATGTAACGAATTATTATTATTATTATTATTATTAAAAAATGAGGGCTAATCTTAATCTGTGCACTATTTAACTAGTTAAAATGGGAGTTATTTCAAAAGCTGTCTCAACTCAAATCCTTGCAATGCACCGAAACATTTGCAACCTAAAATGTCTTGCAATACAATAATTCTTAATGTTCCCTTAGTTTTATTTTTTAAATTTTTGGTTCAACATGGCTAATTGAAACATTTTGTTATTACTTGTCAACACTGTGCCAATTATACATTGACTATCAGGGGGAGTGTGCTTTTAAAACTTTAATTTGAAATGTAAGTTTTCAGTGTTTTTAGAGGGACATGCGATTTTTAAAAACCTTTTTTGATGCATTTCACCAAACCATCAACATTTATAATGGTTAAAACACAGCAAATGTGAGACTTACGAGACAAACTTGCCCAGCTCCACTTGAATGATGGGGTCAGGCATCTGGACCTCCAGCAGTTGGGTGTCAGCTTCCGTCAGCTCATCCGGTTTAGCAGGGTGTGGTGAGAAGATGCGTAACATCCCCATAAAACTGCCCACTATAATCTTATCTGGATTACAGAGAGTCAGAGTGTGAAAGAGACAGAGCGAGAGAGAGAATGTAAACAGTGTTAGGTAAAGAACAGAATGTAATTTAACATCGCATCACACTGAATCACATAATGCAAAAAAAAAAAAATCTAAATTTTCTGTCATCTTGACTATTTACTAATGGAAAACATCACACTTTTTTTCGAGTTGTAGTTCAATTTGCTTTACTGGCATGACATTTTGTTTCAGTATTGCCAAAGCATTTTAATAATGCATACAATATAGAATATAATGACATTTTGAAAGTAACAAAAATGCTAATTACATGTATAAAACATTATAATTAAAAATAAATAAATGAATATGATTAAATAATAATAGTTGATACAATATAAGAAATAAATGACAAATCCAAAAGACAAAACAAATCGAAGAAAACAGACAACATCTCTGACACTGATAACTAATACAGAACTAATTACTCATCATCTCCTATACAAATTATTCTATAGCACATTTAAAAGCAGCAGAGTTCCAGCAGAGAGTGCCAAAATTCTTTACACGAAAAACACAATACATAAAATCAATAAAGGAAACAAGTATCCCATGAGAAAAGAGAAAGTAAATGTATAAAATTGACCTTAATAAAAACTGATCTTAATCAAAGCCCGCAAGAACAAATAAGATTTGAAAAAAAGTTTTAAAACAGGCTAGAGAAGGAGCAAATCTTGCAGTAACAGGCAAACTATTTCACATATATATACAGCGATCAATACTGTTATAAAAAAAATGAATGTATTTTTATATATTCTGGCAATGCACACAAACTGAATTGCAATCACTTTTTATATAAAAAATAATCACATAAAAACACTTTTAATTACATACAAAAATAAAATACTAGGCAGCAGAAATAAAAAAAAACTGCCATTAGTCAATTTCATCTGTAACAATCTCCATCTAATGTTAGAGTAAAATGTTACTATTAATACCTGATGTATTACACAAGAGCTCTATCTACATAAGATCTTTCTATCTATCTATCTATCTATCTATCTATCTATCTATCTATCTATCTATCTATCTTTCTATCTATCTATCTATCTATCTATCTATCTATCTATCTATCTTTCTATCTATCTATCTTTCTATCTATCTATCTATCTATCTATCTATCTATCTATCTATCTATCTATCTATCTATCTATCTATCTATCTATCTATCTATCTATCTATCTTTCTATCTTTCTATCTATCTTTCTATCTATCTATCTATCTATCTATCTATCTATCTATCTATCTATCTTTCTATCTATCTATCTTTCTATCTATCTTTCTATCTATCTATCTATCTATCTATCTATCTATCTATCTATCTATCTATCTTTCTATCTATCTATCTTTCTATCTATCTTTCTATCTATCTATCTATCTATCTATCTATCTATCTATCTATCTATCTATCTATCTATCTCTCTCAACAAGAAAGAATAAAGCAATGCTAAGTGGAGGCACTGATCCCTTACAAATGTTTAAGGCTTTGGTTAAAAGTGGTTTAATGATGGAGTATACAGTAAGTATTATGAATTAGTAAATGATTAAGAATCTTTTTTTTTCTTTGTGGGGATTTGAAAACATACTATGTCAACCCAGTGAAGAAGGAGGGTTTAATATGATGTTTTAAAGAGGAGAGAGTGATAATGCGTTTGTATGCGCAACATTGACTTTTTATGCATGTTGTATATGCAGCATCTTGTGGAAATTGTTGCAGTTTCTTTGTATTTTTTATTGTTTCCGATTGTTTGTTTTTATCTGGATGGTGTAATGTTATGAATGAATATTTGTTTTTGTAATTAAAAGAACTTCGAAGGTCCATCTCTCTCTCTCTCTCTCTCTCTCTATCTCTATCCATCAATTCATCCATCCATCCATCCATCCATCCATAAAATCTGTTGAAACACTGATGCAAAAATACAGGAAACTCAAAATAAAGGATACTCACCATATCCAGTACCACTGTTATCCACATCCCCAACACACAGACATCCCTGGTCAAACTCCTCGCCCTCGCCCAGCACCGATGCCCACCAATCACGGGCCTTAAACAAAGACATCCTGTAAAACAAGCATTACATTAGTGTTTCATTTATGCACTGTAATTGGACAAATTAGAGACTCCTTCATCACTGCTTTTAAATAAACTTGACAAAAGGCTCACCTCAATGATAAGAAATGTTAAGTCCTAAATATTATATTTATATAAAATTTTTTCCACAAACATAACTATTCATCGTTTACATTAAGGACGCTCCAATCAGGATTTTTGCAGCCGATACCGAATACCAATTCTTCGTCTTGGTGATCGGCCGATACGGAGTACTGATTCTAATGCTTCAAGCTTTATAATGCATTTAGCACATTTTCCCTCTAAGTATGACACTTAAGAGGAGATCTCGCCTTACCTAAGAGAACAAATAAAGGATGCTGCATATAGTCCCTTTTAACCATTTAGTGTGGATATGTCATGGCCAGAAGCATGTTAACAGAAAACAATATCACACAAATAAAAAATTGGAAAATGATGAAAGAAATCAAGAATAATCACATATTTGATGCATAAAACGTTAAAATGCACACCTTTAAATCCACCACTACTTTACGAAAAGAAAATAGGCCTATAAACTATTGTTTATTGCAATAAGTATATTACAAGAAGTTATATTATTAACTAATCAAACCCCTGCGATCGGTTTATTAGATCGGCCAGATTGACGATTACCGATCGAGTCATTAAATGTGATTATCGGCAGATAGATCGGAGCATCCCTAGTGTGCATAGGTTTGACCAGTGTAACATAGTACTCTAATAAATAATACAGTTATTGCACAAATAAGTTCAACAGAAAAAAATTATACAAATACTAATCAAACAGTGCTTGTCAAGCAGCTTTAAAATGTTTTCTGATTAAGCTCCATACTGTAAATTGAATAACCAAATGTGAAAATGATGCATCGTAGCTCCCATTGTATAAATTAAAAAAGTCTTTTTAAAGCTAAAAATAATAATAAAATAATAATAATAATAATAATTTAGTCAAGTGAAATTCAAATTTCTCTTTGTTGTTTAACTTTGACTAAATAAAAAAAAAGTGTGAAGGGAGGGGGGTTGGCTGCTTTTGCAATGTTAAAACTTTGCATCAAATTTGCTTTTAGAAGATCTATAAGATCTATTTTTATAAATTCATTATGGGCTTAAGCTTCTTATTAGATCTTCATGTATAGCAAATCTGACTCCTACACTATTACAAACTACTTAAACAATGTCTGCAGCTCACATTTTAGATGGCAGCGTCATCATTTTTTTTTACAGATTGTTAGATTGATGGCTGTTTATTGATGTGGATGAAAAAAATGAACGAATGTCCAAACCTACAAATCCATTAACTAATGTACAAACAAATAAATGACTGTAAAAAAAGAAAAAATGAATAATTGACTGCACAAATGAATTATTGAATGACTGTACGAACGAACGGACGGAGAGACAAAAGAACAAACAAACGGATGGACGAACGAACGAACGAACAGACGAATGAACGGACAGACAAATGAACAGATGGACGGACGGATAGACGAACGAACTAACAGACTGACGAACGGACGGACGAACAGACAAACGAACGAATAGACTTTTATTTCAGTATGTTGATGAACTGAATTCAGTAACAGAATATTGAGAATATTCAGAACAGAATATTCAGAAACAGAATATTGAGTATATAAGGAATATTTGGCAGGGTTTTCTATTTGAGCATAATTTCTTCATAGCAAACTAACGGTAAGAGAGGCATGACTAAGAAAATTGTGGCTAAATCTGTCTAAACTAAACTAAAAAGTCACCACTCTAAACATGAAAGAAGAACGGTCAGACTTTCACTGAAGATTACCACAAATGAAAAAGTATTAATTATTCACCTAAAGAATAACAATGAGCGCTAGCAAATTAAACATTGTAAATTTTGATTGCAAATTAAATTCTTCAATCCATCTTTATTTTACAATGTAGATTGTAGCAAAGGAGCTTAACATAATTTATCAAATTCAAATTGAAACTGTCAGTCCAGTTTTCAGAGTTAAAGTTTAGTTCAGTGTGGTTTAATTTTCACAGCTGAAAGTCCAAACACTGAAGAGCAAATCCATCGATGCGCAGCTCCACAAGTCCCAAACCAAGCACGCCAGTGGTGACAGAGGTGAGGAACAAACTTCACCAATTGACAAAAGTGAAGGAAAAAAAAAACTTGAGAGAAACCAGGCTCATTGGGGCATGACCATTTCTCCTCTGGCCAAACTTCTTGTGCAGAGCTGCAGTTTAGGTGCCGGGGGCTGGGGAAAGCTTGACGTCCATCGTGAAGAAGCTGCAGTTGTGAGTACGACACCGTCAGGTATTCAGGCTGGCCCACGAGATCAGCGCAGACTCGTCTGTCACTGGGGTCTTTCAGGAATCAGTTTCATGTTCTCCACTCCTCCTCCATGACCACCACTGCATCTGCTCAGGATATGGCCTGGACAAGTGTTATGGGGACTTCTAAAAGTATGCACGTTTGGCATCCTCCCTTCACAGGACTTGGATCACATCGATGGCGTTGCATTTCATATGGACTTGCAGCTCATTTGAGCTCTCTCATCCACCATAGAATACACATCCTGACACAATTCTGTTCATCATTTTGTTTTTCAATGACAATGTAAGAACAAAAAGACTCTCCCCTAATCACTCTTTGTCTTAGTTGGCATCTTCTGAGCACATGGTTTTTGATGCTGACTGAACCACCAAGACTGTCAGACATGCAGCTGACAGTATAACCTGACAGAAGTGTCACGTGACTGCAGATTTCATTGGCTGCAATCCAAGCAGCTTTACTAACTAACTGCTGACTGCTTAACCCAGCTAATCCACACACCAGAGAGAAACAGAGGAAATGCAAGGAAGTAGACTGGTCCAGGAACATGGACAAATAAAATGTGCACTGTACATATAACTTATAGAGAATATGTGTGGGTTCTATTATGGAGGCAGCGTGTGTGTGTTTACTAGTCTGTTAACTAAACTTCTGAACTATTAAGTATGAATTAAACAGAACGAAAGAATATAAATTAACCAATTATTATAACATTCAGTGTGTAAACTAGTTTCTCTTTATTTATATTAAGAAGCGTTCTGAATTTCAGGTTAAATCTAAAATTTGGATTTCAAAGTAACGTTAAGTTACACAGAAAGCATCCAGACCAACCTGTTAACAGTCTATCGATTATGTTAAAAACGTAAGCCATTAAATATTTTCAAAGCTAGAAATCAGGTAACTATATGAGACATAACAGTTATCTTATTCCCTGTGAATGAAAGAAAGAGTATTGTTGTGGTAAATCTGCTAACGTTACTCAGCTTGCTGCGATCGCGGTTCACACTTTCATAGTTTCACAGATGTATTGTTGACCGTGAAGCTGCTCTTATGTGCACTGGTGAAAAATATACGTAAATCTGTTGTACCTGTAGTAATTGCAGTGATGTTTTCTCTAGTACTGTGTGGTAAAACCAGGTAGCTCAAGACATCTCAGCTCCTCACACTCGACCCGCTGTTGTCATGGTACTGACAGCAACGCTGAAGCCAGAACTGTGGAACATGGCAGCTCGATATCAAAATAAGAGTCCAGCGTGGAGATTTTGCTTTGTACGATCTTAAGTTGCAGGTCAAATAGAAAAAGCAAACATTACATAATATCTCACACACATTAAAAAAAACTTTTCTTTAATAGAATATAATTGTTGTGAGCACTATAGTAACTTTTTAATTGTAAGGGTTAGTTCACCAAAAATGAAATGTATGTTATTAAACAAATAGTTCACCTTAACATTAATATTCTGTCATCGTTTACTCACGTTTTACTTCTTCTTTTACTTTCTGTTAAACACAAAATAAATTATTTTAAAAAATGTTGGAAACCTGTAACCATAATACTTTTTTACATACTATAGAAGTCAATGGCTACACGTTTTCAGCTATCTTTAAAATATGTTTTTGTATTCAACAAGTGAAAAATTTTTTAATAAAACTCCATAAAGGTTCCAGACCTCCAAAATATCTGGAACCACTTGTGCATGAGTAAATGGTGAGTTAAATTGCCATTAAAGTCTGTGTGAAATAGAAGTTGCTCAGACTTTTATATAGGTATGTTGATGTACTTCCAACTGAAACAGTGAGTAACGTACTTTATCATTTATACAAATATATTTGTACAATATACAAAGCATTTATAGAATTGACTGTACTTAAAATACAAATAAATCTTAAAACAACATGTAGACAGCTTTTAAAACGGTCTATGATTAGATCTTCACTGAAGCAAGTTTCCCAAAATGTCTATCTGATGATTCCCTTGTACTCATAAATAAAACCACAGAAATGTATATAGCTACTAAGGGCTTTTATACATTAAATTGACCTTCTATTTTTTTCATAAGAAAAAAAAAACTTTTGTTTCTGGTGTAGCCTGACCTTATGGATTCCCAGTTGATTACAGTTTTAACTAATCTATCTTCAAAATCGCCATGAAACAGAAGTTAAGACTGTCCTGCTTTTCCATACGATGATGTACATGAATTTAAACTGTCCTAAAATTAGAAAGAAATGTAGGACAGAGCATAATTTCATCCAATGGGAACTGATTGGGTCATTGGAAGATTTTGCTAACAAAATGAAGAAAGATTGACGAATGGATAAAAGCAGGGCAGAAATGCAGACATGCAGTCTTAGACATGTAATCTCATAGATGCAATGCACTCAATGGTGCTAGTGATGTCATTGGGGTTTAGGTGTGCGCATTAAAAGCATTTTATACAGCTCAGATTAAATGAGACATGCCCTGATAGTGCCTTCTATGTGCATTCCATGTGACCAAAAGTGAAGGAAAGTCATTTTGATGTTATACGTTAAGAGTTTTGACCCTTCTATCATACAAACAATAAACAAATTAAGCCTAAATCATGTGCTGTGATCAATCTATAGGAAACTATAACTGGATCTAGCATGAATTAGCATGTTGCTAGCATGTTTTTAGCATAACCTAGCATGTTGTTGGCATGAATTTAGTATGAATTAGCATGTTGCTAGTATAATAAGTAAGTTTGTTGAAATGTTTCCAGTATGGATTGGTATGTCATTAGTATGTTTCTAATATGGATCAGTATATTGCTAGTATGAATTGGTTTGTTATTAGTATGTCGAATGTGAAGTCTATGGGACAGTTGCTAGGGTGTGGCTAGTAAATTGAAAGGTCATAAGTGATTGGCAGATTGCTAGTGAGTTAAATGAGCACAACGTTAAGTCTGTAAGACAGTCTGGCGCAAAGTTATGAGATCACAAAGTTTGGTCCAATATTAAGCCAATGGGACTTTTACGAATTTTTCAGGTTATTTTTTTTTCTGAAAACTGTAAGTTGGATCAGTTGGAAAAGATATAGCCACTTAATTCAGTGTATTTGGAGGTTTGGAGTTAGTTTGGTGGTTGGAGTATGAACAGTCTAGGTAGTATAACAGTATGCCGGCTTTCTCAAGCCACCATAATAAAGTGTAAAGTCATTGAACTGAAAAGAAAAATCATGATAAAAATGATCACTCAGACCCACAGAAATGGCTAGTTTTTTTTACTTTATTGTTACAGTACAGATGCTATATACAACAATTATACTGGGGTCAGCTGCATTAAAACAAATTTTGGTTAAACCAGCAGTGCAGACAGATTTTAAAATACTGTTTAAGACAGATAATGTTATACCTTAAGAGTTTTGACCCTTCTGTCATACAAACAATAAACAAATTAAGCCTAAATCATGTGCTGTGATCAATCTATAGATAACACCTTGGCTCAACTTTACAGACTATGCCAAAAACAGTCAGAATAATGATCATGCAACAAGTCGGTGTGTGTCACACGTAACATGGAGGAAAGGTGCATATACAAGCTTCATAAAAATACTGAACAAGCACAGGTACAATAATCTCGCATCACACAACCGTATATATCAGTTCCAAAAACTCCCTTTGCAATAAAAATAAAATCTAATAAAATTACATTCTTCAAAACCTCCTATGATATCTCCACGTTAAAAGCTCAGGATAAAAAGCACTGCAGAAGGACTGGTATTAGCTATGAAACACATAACGCTGGGAACACCATCTATGTTTTCAAGAGCTGAACATCACTGGAGATCAGTCGATGTCGCTGTCACTGCCAGATTCACTCAGCTGGAGATCATTTCCTGAGGGGGGAACAAAAACAAGACCATTGTAACAAATGAAACACTAGCAGGTGTGGGTTTTACATATAAAGGAACACTCTACTTTTTTTTGGAAATAGGCACAATTTACAACACCATTAGGGTTAAATGTTTGAGTTTAACTGTTTTGGAATCCATTCAGCCAATCTCTGGTTCTGGTGGGAGCACTTTAGCTTGGCATAGATCATTGAATCGGATAAGACCATTAGCATCTTGCTCGGAAAAAAAATATAGTTTTGATAATTTTTACCATATTTTAATCCGTTCAGTCAATCTCCGGTTCTGGTGACAGCATGCTTAGCTTAGCTTAGCTTATCTTAGCTTAGCATAGATCACAAAATTGGATTAGAAGTAATTAGACTACTGAAATGTGTATATTCTGTACAAAGTATGAAAATGATTGGTCAGTTCTTGTCATGCGACTCGCAGAGCGGCATTTTAAAAAGTTTAGAGGTTTTCACATGCGCGTGTCGCTCCTGAAGGATTCGGATTTCTGCTTTCCAATCCGTCTCATCATGGACCAACGTTTATCCTTTTCATCATCCTGTTTCTCAGTATTTAACCGTGAATTGATTTTAATTAATGAATAAGTTAACACATTGCTTAATATAAGAATGTTAGTGCATTTGCCTGTCTCTTTATAACTATTTTCAGAAGCCACCAATCTAGGTCAGAGGTCATGGAGACCTTGAGTGGAACTGAGGGCTGAGGATTGGAAGCAACTGTTTGTATTGTTATTTCTAGTAGTTAATATTGTCTAAAATGTCTAAAGTGATTTTGCTATTTTTACTGTTAATTCTTTTAAAGTGATTCTACTTTTATTCAAGATAGACTTTGTGTAGTAAGGAATTATAACTGCCTGAATGTATTATACCGGTTTTAAACAAGTTTTGATAAAGACGGCTGACAGTACACTCAGCCTTGGATAAGAAACAGATTATACTTTAAGTGTGTGTTTTATTTGATTGTTGATCCATTTCACAGGTCTGGAGTCAGCTCTAATCAGTCTAAGGTATGTCTGACGTTTATGTTTAGATAATGTTCAGAATTGTACGCACGAACCCCACGTGGAAATTTTTCTAGTCTGTGTTTTAACCAATCAGGTTAGAACACCTATATGTATGCCGCAGTTAATGACGTTATGGGAGAGTATAATTGTTATTGATTGGTGATTGTAAGCAGAGCGGCCTAGGAACTTATTGCGAGTGTTGATGCTGGCTTCTGCGAATGAAACTGCAAACTATCTTCAGTAAACTTGATTTATTTATTTAAATATCTGACTCCGGCTCTTCTTCATCTACCAGACTGGTCATTCTTTGGGTTAAACTATCCCTACACTCCCAATATTCCATTGGAAATAACAAACTTATGAGCGCAAAAGTATAGATATGTGAACAGCATGTTTCATGGCAGCATCACAAAGAGGTCTATGATCTATGCATGACAAAAAAATCTGTAGACACATAGAAAAAAAATCTGTAGACACATAGAAAAGTACACGTGACTACTTCTGATATGTGCTCAAGCAGAACATTGGATCCTTACTTGAGTCTGACGACATGCACGCACACGCAATTTTTGGAGACAATTTGTTACACATTTACTACGAGATTTTTTGTGTGTGTCTGTTTTAGAGACATGTTACAGGTCTTTGATATAGATGTAATTGTTTTCCTTTGAAAATATGTTTTAGATTCATACTGTAAAACAGGGATCACCAAACTTATTCCTGGAGGGCTGGTGTTCTGCAGATTTTAGCTCCAACTCTAATCAAACACAAAACTATGGGACAGTTGCTAGGGTGTGGCTAGTAAGTTGAAAGGTCATAAGTGATTGGCAGATTGCTAGTGAGTTAAATGAGCACAACCTTAAGTCTGTAAGACAGTCTGGCGCAAAGTTATGAGATCACAAAGTTTGGTCCAATATTTAAAAGTTAATCAAGGGCTGTTTCTCAATTCCAAGAACGCAGAGAATGGACTTGCGTTCTTGTGGAGAGCGGTCTTGCCAGGTGTCTTCGGAAGAACGAACTCAGGAGACCGCGAGGGCAGAGAACGCGTCCTTTAAGAAATGGGATGCTGCGTTCTTCCTGATGGTCACATGACCTTCACGCGTTTTAAATGGAAATTATTTAAACATTACAACATTCATATAACGATTTATTGTTTTCCCCCTCTTCAAAATATATATTTTGCATAAAAACATTATAAATATACTCTGCACAATATAAATAAAACAGATTTTAATACGAATTTCAGCAAACAAACACCCTTAATGTGTTTATTCCTTTATTAAGATGTTCATGGTGATGTTTACTTTCACCATTTCATTTAGGGAAACTCCTGCGGTAAAT